GGTCAGCACTGGCCTGACTGAAGAGCAGAAGCAAGCTTCCACACACCCACTCAGAACAGGGAAGACGAGAAGTGGGCATTTGGCTCAGCAGTTAGAATGCTGCTTGGTCCGCCCACATCCCATATCAGGGTACCCGGATATAGCCGGGGTCTGAGTCTCAGCTCCGCTCTCCGTGCCAGCCCCCTGCCCCTACGTTCCTGGGAGGCAGCAGATGATGCTCAAGTGCTTTCCTTCCTGCCAGGCCTGAGATCTGGTGTCCGGGCCTCAGCACGGCCCAGTCCCAGCTGTTGTGGTCATCTGGGGAGTGACTCCGTGGATGGACTCTGCCTTACTCTGTGTCTGTCTGTCTGTCTGTCTCGCAGCCTTTCAAATAAGTGAAAATAAACAAATGCAAGTTAAAAAAAAAGAGGACCCCACTTCACAGAGGACATTCCCATGAATTCAACCCTGGAATGGAGGTGGGGCTGGGACAGTTACCCCCACTTGGGAGCCTAGTGAGCTGCCTGGCTGCGTGACCTGTTCGATGACTGTGGCAGGGAGCAGGGAGGCCTCCTGGTTCCTCATCAACCACAACTGCTGCCCAGGCCCAGAACCCTGGGCTTGTTCATGACACAGAACCTCATGGAACAGAAGGCAGAGCCTCGCGGTTTGTAGTACACTCGGGCAAGACGGTCGTTGGGAGAACAAGCCAACTTCTCGGGCTCTGGAGCTTTGCCTCTGCTAGCCCCCCTCTCCGCCCCCCTGCCAAGAAAGCTCCCAGCAGCCCCTCCTTCTCCCCTACCCTGCTGCACGGAGAATGCGAGACCCTGCCCGCCTGGACGTGGAGACTCCCCTGCCACCAACAGGGCTCTCTTCCCTCTGCCGCTAGAAGAGGGAAGTGAGAGAGCCGCTCACATTTTGCCTTGCCTGTCTGGAGTCCAGACGTGCGGCTGCCTGTACGAGCTGGATGCACCGTGGTGGATAACGACCTTCAAACTGAATGGATAATGAGGACTGACTGAGATGTACGCTGAGGCTATAATTAATTTAGAGTCTGAAATGGGGAGAAGTCTTGGTTGTTTCAAGCTGGTCAAACCAGGGGCTGCCTCAGGGCGATGATTTATTCTTACATCCCCATCAGAACCATGAACCTGTGAAAAGTCAGCCCCATGGGGCCGGCGCTGTGGTATAGTGGGTAAAGCCACTGCCTGTAGTGCTGGCATCCCATGTGAGCGCTGGTTTGAGTCCCGGCTGCTCCTTTTCTGATCCAGCTCTCTACTGTGGCCTGGGAAAGCAGCAGAAGATGGCCCAAGTCCTTGGGCCCCTGCACCCACATGGGAGACTAGGAAGAAGCTCCTGGCTTCAGATCGGCACAGCTCTGGCCATTGTAGCCATCTAGGGAATGAACCAATGGATGGAAGACTTCTTTTTCTCTCTGCCTCTGCCTCTCTGTAACTCTGCCTTTCAAATAAATAAATCTTTAAAAAAAGAAAAGAAAAGGCAGCCCCAGCCCGCCATGATGGTGGCCTTCCCCGTGAATCATTTCCCGTGACTAGAGCCATCAGCGCAGGTTCTGAGGAAGGGAAGAGTATCAGAAGATACACTCTTGTCTCCCGTCAAAGGACCCAATCAAAATGTCCTTAAAAATGGAGACTGACAAATCAGATCTAAGGTTGCTGAAGTCTATCATCTCATGTCAATATGAAAAAGAGAATTCAGCTTTCCTGTAAGATAATAAAAGATAACGTGAAAAGAACTTGGGAGAGAACAAGGAAGTAGACAGAGGTGCCAACTCCAGGGAGTGCGGCCGCCCGGCTGGTGGTCTGACTGTCCTGTGAGGACCTGGGCAGGGTAAGTGTGGGTGGGACAGGGGCAGCCCACCCAGGCTGGAGAGTGTTGGCAGAGTGGCTGTAAAAACAGCTCCCCTGGCAGCTGAGACCAACAAGATCTTGGCCGACATTGTAGCCAGAAATGCACTGGTCATTAAAAGCTCTTCAGCCAGGTGAGGTAACCACAAAAAAATGGTAGGAGAGGGCAAGCCGGCAGTCCTCATTCCCTTGTAAGGAAGCATCCTCACTCACAGGAAGATTTAGACTTCGGTCTCGAATGCGTGCCTCCCAGACCCAGCCCACCTAGGAAGGGCCATCACCTGGAGCTGCCGCATGTGCTGGGGGCCCCACGCAGTGGCGTGGTCCTTGCTGTAATATTTTTAAGGCAGACTCAGAGAGTGCCAGGGAATCTTAGGACTGAAGATGCTAGGTCATCTCCATCCCGGGTTCTCGAGTCTCACTCCTCCTTATAAAGCCCTTGACTTTGACATTGGACTTTTGCTGGGGCCATACATTCAGCCTTTGCTATTTTTGGACCAAACTTTCAATCTGATTTCCAGCCGTATGTGCCTCCTACCCAGCTACAGGAAGTGATGGCCTTTCTCATGCTGTCACAGAGGCTTCTGGCTTCTACTTACGTGTCTGCTTTGTTGGTTGGCCATTTTATTCTTCCAGTGCACCCCACACCTAACAATCCTCATCCACTGCCACGACTGTTATATTGCCATCATCACTTTGCCTCTCAAGGGCTAGTGGCAAAAACCAGCGCGTCCCTGGCAACTGCATCCCATCCTGGATCACTCCTGTCATGAGGCCTAAGTCATGCTGGTTATTTTTTTTAAAAAAGATTTATTTATTATTTGAAAGAGTGACAGAGAGGCAGAGGTAGAGAGAGAGAGGGAGAGGTCTTCCATCTGCTGGTTCACTCCCCAGATGGCCGCAATGGCTAGAGCTGGGCTGATCTGAAGCCAGGCGCCAGGAGCATCTTCTGGGTCTCCCACGTGGGTGCAGGGGCCCAAGGACTTGGGTCATCTTCCACTGCTTTCCCAGGCCATAGCAGAGAGCTAGTTCAGAAATGGGGCAGCTGGAACTTGAACTGGTGTCCATATGGAATGCTGGCACTGCAGGCGGCAGCTTTACCCACTACGCCACAGTCCCGGCCCCCATACCAGTTATTTTTACATGGATAATTTAATTTGGAAAATTGAGGAACTGGGGCAGTTAAAAAAGGCCTATGGAGATAAGGTGGTCAACCATCCTGCTTTGCCTGGGTCTGCGCTAGTTTTAACAGGGAAAGTTCTGTGAGCTGGAAAACCACATATGACAGAGGTAATAATCGCAGGAGCTTCTTCCAGGTCTCCCACATGGGTGCAGGGGCCCAAGCGCTTGGGCCATCCTCCACTGCTTTCCCAGGCCACAAGCAGGAAGCTGGATCAGAAGAGGAGCATCCAGGACACAAACTGGCACCCATGGGATGCCGGCACCGAAGGCGGAGGCTTAGCCCACTACGCCACAGTGCCAGCCCCAGGAACTAACTACTCACTTGAAAGGTGTGGTCAGGGTATAGGGGAACCCAAGGATGAGAACCATAGTGAAACTGTCACCACACATAGCCAAGAGGAAGGAGGGGAAACAGCAGCTGCTGGGGTCTGAAAAGCTGCAGCGTCCTCAAGTTGGGGGACACAGATGGCCCCAGCCACCTCCAGGGAGAGAGCCAGAGGGGCCAGTGCACACCCTTGTCCTCCTTCCAGTCTCTTGATGAGGCTCCACGCTGGCCACACTAGAGCAAAAGCTACGCAGCACATGTAGCATCCATGCAGTCCCTCTGGAGTGGTAAGCACGGGCCAGGAAGCGGGGCCAGTGAGTCTGTGGGACAGACATCGCCAGCTGGCACCATGCCTCCATGTGCATCTGTTAAATGGGGATCATGGTGGAGCAAATGCATTAGTTGTTGTGGGGATTGATAGCTAAATAGATGCAAAAGCTTACAATAGAGACGTGTATGTGTGTGTGTGTACACATATACACACAGCACTTACTGTACATATCACTACAGTGCTCGCTATATGAAGGAAATATTTATAGTAAAATAAGTGTATACATAATAAAATAGTAACCATGGGGCCAGTGTTGTAGCACAGCAGGTTAAGCTGCTGCCTGTGACAATGGCCTTCCTGGGTGCCCATTCAAATTCCGGCTGCTCCACTTTTTTTTTTTTTTTTTTTTTTGACAGGCAGAGTGGACAGTGAGAGAGAGAGAGACAGAGAGAAAGGTCTTCCTTTTACCATTGGTTCACCCTCCATTGGCTGCTGCGGCCGGCATGCTGCGGCCGGCGCACCGCGCTGATCTGAAGCCAGGAGCCAGGTGCTTCCTCCTGGTCCCCCATGCGGGTGCAGGGCCCAAGCACTTGGGCCATCCTCCACTGCACTTCTGGGCCACAGCAGAGAGCTGGACTGGAAGAGGGGCAACCAGGACAGAATCCGGTGCCCTGACCAGGACTAGAACCTGGGGTGCTGGTGCCACAGGTGGTGGATTAGCCTATTGAGCCGTGGCACCGGCCCTGCTCCACTTCTGATCCAGCTCCCTGCTAATGCACCTGGGGTAGCAGTGGAAGATGGCCCAAGTGCCCGGGCCCCTGCACCCATGTGGGAGATCCAGATGAAGCTCCTGGCTCCTAGCTGCAGCCTGGCCCAGCCCTGGTTGTTGTGGCCATTTGGAGAGTGAACCAGTGGATGGAAGACATCTTTCTCTTTGTAATTCTACCTTTCGAATAAATAAATATTTGTAAAAAGTATAGTAACCATATAGTAAGCAGTATATTTACTCATTCCAAATGTAGTATATATATATATATGGTAAGTGTATATCCAATAGTCCGCTGGCACTACCTAGTGTCTATAAATAACGCTCCATTAAGCTCAGCTATTGCTAACAAGTCAGAGGACGTGATGAACTCCCCAGCTGTGGGAGCCACCAGAGGACAGGGCTGCAGCACCCCATGCAGGCAATGATTCCAGGGCTGAGGACACAGCTCCCCTCCTCCCCACTCACCTCAGCCTTCCCAGGAGACCTGGAGCCGGCGGAGAGGATTCCCAGACAGGAGGAGCCTGAGCATGAGTGACCAGGTTCCGTCCATCTTCAGTGGTAGGTCACCAGGCTGGGCGGGTGAGGACAGACACACCCAGGCTGTGTGTCAGCAGCCCGAGGCTTTTCTCCTCTGGGGGTAACCCGGCCTCCTCCTGGAGGGGAGGTTGATCGTGTTGTCTGGGAGGTGATAGCATGCCACAGTGGGGTGTTCCTGGCCCCTGGAGAGAATGGGCCGTGACACGTGTCCCCTGAGACGGAGGACAGGCTCCCTCAAGCTCGGGCTTCATGGGTGGCAGGGAGGAGAGCACAGAAACCAGGGTGGGTCTCCCCAGGAGTAGAGGTGGCCTCAGCTCCCAGGGTGGTAGAGCCTGGAGAGTCCACTGGTATTAGGCGCTCTCCCCAATCTGATCTGGAACAGGAGTCAGACCGGGTGACCTTCAGTCCCACCCACTCCCAGGCAGGCTCTTTCGGGTGCGTCTCTTTGGCTGGCTTGAGCCGGCAATGGTGCTTGGGTCTTAGAGAGGCAGGAGAAGGACATGTTGGAAGTGTCAGGTTCAAGGACCCAGATCTGCACTGTCAGGGACGCCCTGGGGAGGAGGTAGAGCTTGGAGGGCCCCCACTGGCTCCTCCCATGCCCACCCTCCTGCTCAGGCCTCACCTGTGCACACTGAGTGCCGAGTCTTTGGTGCAGCCTCGAGGGTGGACACCGTACAACAATCTGCAGTCTACTGCAATGCAGAGTCCCAGACAGAAAGTGTGTGCTCACTACGATCCAAGTTTGGAATACAAAATGTGTACGCGTCCACTTAGGAGGAGGAATGTTAACAAGGGCTACCTCTGGTTAGTACAATAACAGGTGATTTCAATCTTCTCATACCTCGTGTGCTTCAGCGTCTTCTCCGTGGCGAATCTGAGTTGTGTGAACATTCAGAACACATGAGCCTCCCTCTGCCCCTCTCCTCCCAAGGTGGCGCCTGTGAACCTTCTCCAGGAGCCAAATCTCACAAACAGCCAGGAACGGCCCCCCGCCTCCCACCGCCGTGAGTCATGGAAAAATACCTTCCTGAAATAACAGCAGGCTGTGATTTAACCCAAACAAAACCAGGGCTCTGCCTCCACGGTGCGCCATGCCTCTCAGGATCACAAGCTCCAACACAGCCCTGCCGGTGACATCCGGGAGAACAGAGGCCGCACCAGCTGGCCAAAGTAGCGGAAGCCTTGTAAGTCTTCCTCTGTGAGTTCAAGAGCCCTGTGTTTAATCTGGGCACGTGGCCACCTGCCCCCAGGTTCCGCAGCCCGATGGGAAATGGTGGCCGGGTTCAGGGACCGAATGTGAGCAGCAGGAATCTTACGGAAGATCGTCTTGTTTACCAGTAAGGCCGGGACGTGGTAAGGACCCCGCTCTGACTGTGTAGACGATGTCACCTGTGAAAGGACCCCGTGGCGACAGAGCTGCCCGGCTCTCCTGGGCCTCTGACCTTCAGTCTGTCAGTGAGAGTCCAGGAATTTTCATGCTATTCAGCTCACCGCTATTGGAGGGTCTTTGTCAGGTCAGCCACGCCCCAGCTGAGGCAGCAGGCTAGTCCAGGCCCTAAAGCCCCACTTTATAATTGATTTACTAACTGTACAACCTGGACCTCACTTCCTCTCTAGGTAAGTGGAGGTATCAGTACCTAACTGGGATGGGCGTGAGAATTAGCACCACATACACCAAACACCCAGTGCAGCGCCAGGAACAGTGCGTGGGCCACAGCACTGTCGTGTGAACCACCACTACGTATGCGATCATGATAACTACAGTCTAGCTGCTCAGCCTCCTTGAGCCTCTGAGTCTCCCCTGGGCAGAAAGCTTGCTTTCCTGAGAAGCGTGTGGGGCCGCTCCTCCACGCCTGCCTCCCTGTTCTCCCCCCTCTCCTCGAGACCTCACGCCTGCACGCCTCCCCTCCTGCCTCACTCCTGTGCTTGAAGTTAGGGCCTCAAGTCCGTCCACGTGCTGGCCTTTCCCCGTTCCACCTCCCTCCAGGCCCTGTCCAGTACAGTCCTCAGTTCCTCTCCTGTAAAAGTTTCTGCTCAGTGTCATGCATTGGAATGTTAGAATACTGGGGGCAGGTGTGGGGTGTTAGCAGCAAAGATGCCACTTCACAGGCTTGTTTCCCACATCAAAGGGCCTGGGTTTGAGCCCCAGCTCCGCCCCTACTTCTAGCTTCCTGCTAATGCGCACCCTGGGATGCAGCAGATAATGGCTCCAGTACATAGGCCCCTCCCTGCTATGTGGGAGATACAGATTGAGTTCCAGGCTCCTGGTTTCCACTTGGACCAGCCCTGGCTATTGTAGGCGTTTGGAGGATGATGGGAGCAGATGGGAGGTCTCTCTGTTTTCTCTGCATGTGTCTGTGTGTCTCTATGCCTCTCAAATAAGTAAAATATAATACTATGCAATTTGTTAAAATATTATGCATTAAACAAATTTAATTAGTTAAAATCAGAACAGTCCCTGGCAATCAAGAAATACTCCTATGGAATACTACACAGCAGTAAAAAAAAAAAAAAAAAAAAAGAAAAGAAAAGAAAAGAAAAGAAAAGAAAAGAAATCTAGTCATTTGCAACAAAATGGAGGAATCTGGAAAACATGATGCTGAGTGAAATAAGCCAGTCCCAAAGGGACAAATATCATATGTTCTCCCTGATCTGTGACAACTAACTAGAGCACCTAAAAGGAAACCTGTAGAGGAGAAACAGACACTATGAGAACAATGACTTGATCAGCCCTTGTCCTGACTGTCGAGGAATAGCTTACTATCTTATTCTTTTTAGTATTTTGTTTTTCTACTTAATACCATAGGTTGAACTCTTTATTTAACACAGAATTATTCTTAGGTGTTTAAATCCAATTTAAAATTGATCCCTGTTAAAAATAAGAGTGGGAATGAGAGAGGGAAGAGATGTACAGTTTGGCACATGCTCCCTTGGACTTACCCCTTAGTAAAGCTAAAAACTTGCCATGACTCCAAATCCCATTAAGTTGGCAGGTACCAATGCCATCTTACTAGTTAAAGTGATCAGTTTCAGTTCATAACATAAAGATAGGATTAAGTGTCAAAGGAATCACATAAATAAGACCTGTATCTGCTAATAATAATTGATAGAATTAAAAAGGAGAGAACCATCCAACATAGGAAGTGGGATACACAGCAGATTCATAGAATGACAAATGCCCTAAACAGCACTCTGGTCTCAGAATCAGCCCTTAAGGCACTCGGATCTAGCTAAAATGCACATGAGAACATTTCAGGCATGGAAAGCTAAGACACTGTGGCAAAAAATCATCTACATGAAAGATCTCTGTGAGTGAGATCCCGGTGGAAAGAAGGGGCCATCAAAGAAGGAAGTACCTTTCTCTGAAGGGAGGAGAGAACTTCCACTTTGATTATGGCTTTGTCTAAATAAGGTCAGAATTTGTGAACTCAAGAGGCTTCCACAGGCTTGGAAGCTCATGACAAGAGCCTCGGGTGATTACTGACATCATAAATAAGAGTGTCAATTGTTAAATCAACAGCGGGAGTCACTGTGCACTTATTCCCCATGTATGATCTCTGTCCTTAATGTATTGTACTATGAGAATTAATGGTAAAACTAGTCTTCAAACAGTACTTTATATTTTGTGTGTCTGTGTGGGTACAAATTGTTGAGATCTTTACTTAGTATAGAGTTGATCTTCTGTATATAAAGATCATTAAAAATGAATCTTAGTGAAGAATGGAAAGGGAGAGGGAGTAGGAGGTGGGATGGTTTGGGGGTGGGAGGGCGGGTAAGGGGGGAAGAACCCCTATAATCCAAAAGTTGTACTTATGAAATTTATATTCATCAAATAAAAGCTTTCTATATAAAAAAGAAATACTCAGTAGCTTTAAGGTGATGTCCTTATATCATTTTTCCTGTCCCCACCTCCAGTCTAGTCTAGCTCCTACTATAGCAGTAGCAGACACAGTAACAATCTGGAGCTTTTAAAACACCTGTGGCTCTGGATTAGAAGAAGGGTACCTGGGAAAGCAATGCCAGCTGGGCTGGGCACCTCTCAGCGCCAAGTCTTGGACAGAGTCACCCTACCGGATGCTCACCTCCCCACCTGCAAGTCTCCCCGCTCCTCCTCACCACCCCCCCCACTCCACTTCACTGCCTTCATTTTGCGTGATCAGAGCTGTGCTGGTTACAGATTGCTCTTGGCTAACAAGCATCCTCTTCGAATGTAAACCCTCCTGGAAGGATGACCAGGGGCAATGATCGTTTCTTGCACAATGCAAGTGCTTGCTTTCTTGAGAACTTTGGCTCACCTGTGTGGAGAGCCTGGCATTTGCCTGACAAGGGAGGGACAGAGGCGGGAGGTGAGTCTGAGGGCAGGTGTAGGCAGACAGGGGGTGAGAGGGTGCAGAGGGGCTTAGGGTGGCACCGAGGAGGGCCCCAAGGACTCCGGGGGACACCGGGAAGTGGGAGATAGTGCCAAAAGCCCAGGGACAAATCTCACGGTTGCCAACCTGCTTCAGAAGATGTGGCTGCCTTAAGGAACAGAAAAGGAGAAGTTGTGACTAACCCGCCTCCCTAATCAGGCTCTCCCTGTGCACTCCCCACCATGGCCTCCAGGCCCCTCCTCACCCTGGCTGCCCTCAGTCTGAAGCCCACTTCCTGTGTGACTGCTCCCCCTTGGGGCTTTGACTCTCTTTTGCTTACCAGACTCCGTCAGCTTTTGCTGCAGTCCCTATGCCATCTCCCAAATGCTAACTCAACCACCGGTCTTCATGCAAGGACCTCAGCTCAGCCATTCTGTCTCCTCTTCTCGTGGGAGTCTTTCTCACCACCGGTGGCCGTGGAAGCTGCCCCGGGGTCATCCTCCCAGTGCTGATGGCTGTTCTGCTTCTGTCCCAGCCAGCCTGTGCAGGTGAGGACCTGTCCAAGGTATCACCCCGTCTCCACCTGGACCCTGACATCACAGGAGGTTGGGAGCATCCTCTTCCTCTTTTTCTTCCTTTCTCCTAAACTCAACAGCGTCCCCCACCCGGGACCAGTGGCTCTGACTGGCTCTGTAAATACTTTTGCCCAGCCGCACTAGAGCTGGGGTGAATTTTATTGTTGTTATTACTCTGACCAGGGTCGTTAACCACCGAGCATAACATGTTTTCTTTAGGGAAATAACCCAAGTGCCAGACAACAGACTTAAAATGAACTTCTGTGAAATCACTGGTGCACAATGAATTTCTGAAAAACTCTCTGTGCACCTGTTTACAAGAAGATTAAGAACAAGTGGCTGCCATCCGATGGGCCTAGGTATGATTTTTGTCCCTACTTGGTGTGCAATTAGCATTCAAGACACATAATCACCTCTCCCAAGACCAGAAGCTGAAGTACAAATCCCACTCGAGTGAGGTTATTTAGATCCTCAATCAGATCGACCTGATCCAAGCCAATTATTTTTCTGGCAAAGTTAATTAGAATGTGTCTAAAATGAGTGAGATGTGAAAGGCAACTTTCCATTATTTATTCCTTTAGCTGTAGCCTTAAAGCTGGAGTCTTGTCCTTAATTTCACATTACAAGTGCCTCCGAGACAGGAGCAGACCTACATGGCAGGCTTTTAAAATTAGAACCAAACTATGTTCCTGGTGATTTCAGCTGGAATATTTAACTGAGAAGAAAGTTAATCAGAGGTTTGTAGGAGAAATTACAAGAGAAAACTAGAAGGCCTGGGGAAGAGAGTCAGACGGGAGGAAAAGAGCAGGACTTAATCTCCATGAAGCCCTACTTTCCTCACTTAAAATAGTCTGGCTCGAGGGCGTCAGCACGTGGCGCAGCGGGTAAAGCTGCTGCCTGCAGTGCCGGCATCCCATGTGGGCACTGGTTAAAGTCTCGGCTGCTCCCCTGCAGATCCAGCTCCCTGCTAATGCTCCTGGGAAGTCAGCAGAAGGTGATTTGGGCCCCTGCACCCACACGGGAGACCCAGAGGGAGTTCCAGGCTCCTGGCTTCAGCCAGGCCCAGCACCAGTTGTTGCAGGCATTTGGGGAGTGAACCAGTAAATGAAAGGTCTCTCTCTGTCTCTCCCTCTTTGTCTGTCACTCTGCTTTTCGAATAAATAAATTAAAAAAAAAAAAAAAGACAGTCTGGCTCAAAACTCTTGAATTGGTGTAGCAGAAGCCAGCGAATCCTGTCTTCTTGGTTTTCTACCTGCAGCC